GAAACTGCTACTAGGCAAATGAAAAGAACCGGACTGATGATTTGTGAATGATTTGCGATTAGCAGTCCTGCTGTCTGCATTGATCGCTGCAGCGCTGAAGTGCTGCGCATGGGTAACTCATAGCTAGGGCCTACCAAATTCATGGTCCACCTTAGTCAATTTCATGGCCAGAGGGTTTTTTAATTGGTCAATTTCATGATTTCAGAGGTTTACATTTAAAATATCAAGGTGTTGTAATGGGGGGGAGGGGTCCCGACCTGAAAAGGTATCATGGGGCGGGGATGTCACAGGATTGCCACCCTCTTCTGTACTGCCTTCAGGGCTGGGCTCTGAAGGCAACAGCCATGGAGCTTCCTGCAGCTGGAGGAGATTCCCAGAGGTGATGGGGGGCCCCGATCTGCCCTGCTGCTGGGAGTGCCCCAGGCGGGGGCTCCTAGCTGCTAGTCCCAGCGAGTGGCAGATTAACGTATGGGCCCACAGGGCTTGTGCCCAGGGGCCTGGCCAATTTGGAGGACCCCCAGAAAAATGGGCACCCAGATCTCCGGCAGAAGCCCAGAGCCCACCCACCCAAATCCCCGGCTCCAGCCACAGGGGGCAGAAGCCCCAAGCCCAGCTGAGCCCCAGCTAGAGCCACGGGGAGCAGAAGCCCCAAGCCCAGGCTGGACCATGGGGCTGAAGCCCCAAGACCCAGTTGGAGCCACGGTGTGGAAGCCCCGAGCCCAACTCCTGGGCTGCTGCACTGGAAGTGGGTCTGATCTCCCCACTGAGAGCAGCCGTGCAGGGGAAGGATAAGTTTTGTCCCTCCACAGCCCAGCTCAGACTAGTTGCTAGGAGCTCCTGGTTGGGGCGCTCCCAGCAGCATGGGGATATGGATTTCATGGGGAAGGGCTTATTTCATCGTCCGTGAAATTGGTAGGGCCCGATATCATAGAAGTGAAGGGCTGGAAGGGACTGAGGCAGGACTGAGTACACCTAGACCATCCCTAACAGGTGTTTGTCCAACCGGGCCACCCCAGTTGGCCAGGGCTCCGGGGCACGGCCCCCATAGGCCCAGTGGCTAATCCACCACTGTTGCTATCTCAAAGGGTTTAATGGGTCCTTTATGTCTCACTGTTGTCCTTAGAATTCTTCATATATAATAGTCACTCTCTTACTAGCTGATGGCAGCTGCTATCTTACATATGTAATGTGATATGTATACCATTGCGGTTTGTAGGATATGGTAGGCCTGCTTTTATGTGTCAGTTTACTCTCCAGGTTCAGCTAAAGGATTGGCTAGGGAAATGAGACTCTGGAGTTCAAATGGCCCCACAGCTCTGTGCAATACCTACTACCTGTGATGTGTATGCAGATAGAGATGTATAATTTTGTGTAACCAGAGGTTATTCCATAGTAATTTACAAATCCTTTCATAATCTTCACAGCAGTATTAAGTATAATGTTCTGATATTAAGGAGTTTATAAAAGTAGATATAGGCATTGTACAATACACAAAAGGAAAGGCCCTGATTTGAAGCACTTAAGACTTAAACCCCCCCCATATATATAGAAATGAGGACACAATGAGACAATGGGTGAAAATATATTACAGCAATTGGGGAAGAGTTTAAGATGTTACTGCCTTTTTCCCTGCTCCTAGTCTGTGTTTTCTGTTTTTGATTGTAAACTCTTCAAGGCTGGGATCTGTCTTACAATGCTTGTACTGACAAGCAGCCTTTAGGGCAGTATAGAAATAATGGTTTTATAATTCACACAGTGAGCATAGAGTACTGTTGAAACCTGCAACAGCCTTGCTTTTACTGAGCCAGTTAGATGTTGTCCTTCTCCTTAGCCCTTCTATCACAGGTGTTGGTTTTAGATGCACACAGCCCGAGGCCAGGGACATTAGAATGATCTTTCCATAGCCTGAAGGTGACTTTGTGCTTCGGGATTACCTTGACCTGACACTTTTTCCTCTGTCTATTTCTACATTAGGCAAGGGTTTTGAACCTCAACAAGCAGCAGCTGTGTGTAGCAGATAAGAGTCCAACTGTTGACTCCACCCCATGATCCTTCTGATCCACGGCTGATGGGGAGGTAGGCCTAGGGTAACCAGACAGCAAATGTGAAAAATCAGGACAGGGGGTGGGGGATAATAGGAGCCTATATAAGAAAAAGATCCAAAAATCAGTACTGTCCCTATAAAATCAGGACATCTGGTCACCCTAGGTAGGGCTGGAGCCACTTTTAAGGGCCTAACGTAGGCAGACTCTAGAATCAGTGGGGCTCTGTGTAGTACACATGGGAATTGAATCATGAAGAGCAGAAGGCTGTGGACTTTTATGCCATAGTAGCACATGTTCGTGCTTTTAAGATCTACAGGTTTCTCCTGGTAATTCCACTTACAACATTTGTAGTAAAATCAGACTTACAAAAAAAAAATTTCACCGTAAGCAGGTTCCATTGTAATACCTCTCCCCCCTCCCCCCCCACACGCACACCAAAAAGAAATGGCAGACTATCATTCCTTCCCCAAGAGCTTCAATTCTACACCCCACAAAAAATAACATCTGTGGAGCTTCCAATCCATGAAGTTAGATTAGCTTTCAAAGGGTAAGGAGCCAGAATTGGGGTTTGTACAGTACATTTCAGGCTTCAGTTCTGTAAGAGGAGTTGAAGAAGGGGAGTGATGGTATAAACCCATGCATTAGCTGTTATCTGCTTAGCAGGAGGTTACACACAGCTTGGGGCACCAGAACTTTTTTTTTTTTTTTTTTAAACTGAGTTCAACGTCCCGATTCCTGTGCTACCTTGCATCTTGTGCTCAAACCTAGGGGCACTAGATTGGACGCTCTTCGTGGCAGGGACTTTTTTGTTTGGTTTGTTCACCACCTAGCACTCTGGGGGTCTTGCACTTGTGTAGTCATTTCCACCTGTGCACAGTGAATATCCATCCTAAGGGGAGCATTTCTCCCCCACCCTCCTTGGCACTGGTGTGAATGACTATGCAGGACCCTGAACAGTGGAGAACAAGGCCCCGAACACTTTCACACATTCTCTTTGAAAAGTGCCTGGGGACTGATAATTTCCACAGGAAGCCTGGCAAAGTGGGTCTGCAGTTGGTTTCCTATGAAGGCCAATAACATTAACAGAGCAGTGACCTTCCTCTCCTCCCCTGACTGCCAAGTTAGGGATTCCATCTAGTGTTGCCTCTAAAGGCTAGAGCCTTCAGCAGCTTAAATATGAACGTGCTTTATGTCTTGCCAGATGTGGAGCTCAGTAGTAGCAGAATCTACCAGCTTGGTGGGGAGGGGGGAGGCTGTGCACAATAGTGGTACAACTCCTGTGCCCTGATTCCGTGCCAGAGAAATCTGCTAACAACCAGGCCTCTCTGTCCAAGGAGGCACATGAGATGCCATCGGAAAATAACTCCTGCTTCTATAGCCCTCCCTCCCCAATCCTGGAACATGAATGTCTCAGCAGATAAGGTGTCTGTAAAGGGCCCAGTCATGCTCCTAGGAGACCGATTTCATAGGAGTGGCAGATATCAGCTGTAGCAGGGAGTTAATGTTTTTGGCAGCATCCCTGAGCAGTGGGCTTCCTCAAGCAATAGAGGCTCCTGTGTGCCCTTCAGTCAGTATCTAGGCTCTCTCCTCGCTGCAAGGGCAGTCAGCTTAAATAATCAAGTGTTTTTCTTGTTATAAATGTTTACTGGAGATAGCGCACGGTACACACACTTAAGCAAGTGCTCAAAGCTAGGGGCACTGAAGGGGAAATGCGCTCCTCCCCATACACAGACGGGAAGCTTTGTGGGGCAGGAGCTGTGGTTTGGTTCTGTTTATACAACGTCTGGCACAATGGGGTCCTGCTCCATGACTGAAGCTACGAGAATAATGATGAAAGTTCTCAACAACTCCTTTGAGAGCAATACTATGCGATTCTTCTGGGGTGCACCTGCTTAGGAAGCAAAAAAACCAAACCAAAACAACAACAAAAAAACCCTGCAGCACCAAGTCTCAGAGCTCAGGTTACTGACTCAGGCTTATGCTATAGGGCTAAAAATAGCCCGGGAAGCGTCTCAGAGCCCAGGCTCCAGGAGACCAAGCCCAAATGCCTACACAGCTATTTTTAGCCCCAGAACACAAGCCTACATCACTTCAGCTGGGCTCAGATTCGCTATGGTGGTTTTTTGTTGTTGTTTTGCCATGTAGACGTAACCTGACTGTGCCTCTCCTGCAGTTTCCCACAGGGCTGTTTGTCCTCATTGCTTTAGTAGAACTAGTCCCCATGGAAGTCAGTTGAGCTGTCTCGCCTCATCCCCCACCCCACACACTAGGGAGTTTGTTTTCCATCTGTTTCTTAGGTGTCCTAGTGTTTTAAAAAAGAGAAAGGCACTGAAAACATTCCCCTCCCTCCCTTGGGAAGAAAGAGAAAGGAGTTGCTAGTCCATTTTGCAGCCACAAATGTAAATGACAGTGTAGAATACAACCTTCTTGCATGATATGTTTTATTACAGCCGCATTTACATCCTTTGGAGTTAAACCTGGATAATGGTCCAAAGCTACAGCTCAATTTCAACAGTGCAAGAAAAACAGCTGGTACAGAAAGGCTGCAAATGGAGTTTCAAAAAGAGACTCCATTTCTCAAGTCCTTTTTCTGGCCTTCCATCTCTCTTAGCTAAGTCATATTTCAAGACAGTCAATGCTTTTGCCCTGCCATGGTAGTCATGTGGGTAGGCATAACAAATGCCTACAGAAAAAAGAATAAAGCCAGTGGAAAATGTCTTCTTCCAAGACATTGGGTCATGCTGTGGGAAATACAACCTAAAGCACAAGGGAAGAGGCGTAAAGCCCTTTGCTGCAAGCCACAACGGAGATGTCAGTTAGGTTCCCAGCTACATTATCCATCATCAAAGCTACTGTGCAAGGTATGGTAAGGCTGCATTTCCCAGCATTCCTTTCAGATACACATTTCCCCCTTTCTCACTCTAATACATATTAATACATTAAGCAAACTCTGAAACAAATCGTTACATGGTGCCCCTCGTAGCATTCTCCTCTATGCCTTCCCCATGGGTGCAGAAGCAAAATACAGTGACAGATAACAGGACGAGTGTCAGATGGCACATGGTGTGCCCAGTCTACGATCCCAGGCCACCACGGTAGAAAGTTGCAGAGTTCTGTAGTCCAAGTCCAATCACTTCTTCCCCAAATGCCTCAGCTAGCTTCTGTGCAAAGGCTTCTCAGGGCACATAGGACTATTCTAAAGGGGTTTCTTTCAACGGTCTTTACCGTAACCATGTAGTTCGTGGGACACTGAAACCCTCCCATCTTCCAAGGAAGTTGAATGATACGGTCCTCCTGGAATGCTTTACTCTGAAGATGCAAGGTCAAAACCTTCTCTCTCCTACCTGCATTTGTATCAGAGAGGGCATGTTTTGCAGCCTAGTCCTCTGGATCAGAAATCGTTATCGCTCTACCACGGTGGAACAAAGATCCACCCGCGCAGAACTGGGAAATCACATCTCACCAGCTGAACAGGAGAAGGGCTTAGGCTGGTCTCCTCCACTACAAGCCCTTCAGGATTTCAGCCCCATTTTTGCCATCATCTGCTCATATAAAGTCCATGCCATCGCTGCCATCAGAGTGCGCCGCAGGGCACGGGGGACGCCGCCACGGAAAAAGCCAACCAGTCCATAGTCCTACAGGAGACAAAACAAACACCAGCTGTGTCACTTCATGTAATTCTTAGACTTCTACTGGATGGCATAATCCATGGCTGCACTGAAATACATTCTGTACTAGTCCCTAGTGCCTGAGAAATCCATGCTCACACGGCACTCAGCCAGAGGGACAGCCACAGGGAAGGGACCTCTAGCATCACTCAACTGCAGTGACTCCTGCTGATGAAGGAACAGCAGTTACTGGACAGCTGCTATACCGTGAGGCACAGTACAGAACAGTAAAAAGAGGGAGGGGAACCACAGGGCCTGGAGGGAAACCCCCACCTCTGTCCAGACAAACAAACAAACAAAAAAGACAAGAAACAAACCACTTCAGGTCACTTAATATAGTCACCAGCCTCACTTCAGAATTTTGTGTCAGTTAATATTTACAGAATTGCCAGGGGTGAAAGTAAGGCGGTACGGGAAAGTGGCCGCCGGTACCGCCCCTACTGCCTTACTTTAAAGCATTGCCGCTGCTGGCAGGGCTGCCGACGGGGGGAGCGCAAAAGGGTCAGTGACGTTAAAGCGCTGCCACGGCAAAGGACCCTGCTTAAAGCGCTGCCGCAGAAGCATTTTATTGTCACTGCCCCTTTTACGCCCCCCAGACTGCCAACGGGGGAGAGGGGGCAAAAGGAGCAGCTGCCCCGGGCTGGCGATTTAAAAGGGCCCGGGGCTCTGGCCACTGCTGCAGTAGTAGCAGTGACGGCCAGAGCCCCAGGCCCTTTAAATCAGCGCTGGAGCCCCAGGCACGGGCCAGCGTGGAAGGGCTGGCTGGGGGATGCTGACCCTCCCAGCCCCACCCCTTCTGCCTGAGGCCCAGCCCTTTCCGGGGGGTAGGGGGACGGGCGGAGTCAGCCCCCGTACCGGTAAGTTTTCAATTTTACTTTCACCCCTGAGAATTGCCCACGAGTATTTTTAAAGCTCTGCCTAGGATTTACTTTCATTGAGCAGAAAGAGAAATTCTGAATGGGAGCAAATAGCGTCTAAGCAGAAGCGTGGCTAAAATACAGATTCAAACAGACCCAAACTTTAGGGAGGAGGATTGATATGAACCTGAGCAGCAAAATTCAGCTCCAGATCTTTCATTCTGATTTTGCAGGCTCTCACTTGCAACAAAGAAACAGTCTAGCCAAGAGTCATCCCAATGTAACCCAATGTCAGGACAACTGTATCCCAACTTTGATGTTGTGTAATCCCTAGCATTGTATCACAGGGGTTGTGAATCACATCCTGGGCTAGCATCCAATGGACATACAACTCTGGGGCCAAATACAGGTCGATGAGTGCTCCACTGGGGTATCCACTCCATGCATCCCCACCCAGTTCCTTGGATAACAAATCTGTACATTCACTTCTTGCTAGTGTTCAAAGGACAGATAATTGTTTTATATCCCATTTATCCTTGAAGCTTGTGTTTATAAAGCAGCATATTACAAAAATCCTCCTGCCTCAGTCTGGCAATCACAGGAGTACTGCAGTGATAAGCCATGGATTCCAGCAGCCCAGGACTGGGTACAACCAGATCCTGCAAGGTTATTTGCTAACACGATTGAAATGAAATCAGTAAGTACATTCAATTAACAACAGTCTAAGGGTAAAAGTGCTCTATAATGGAGTGAAGAAAGGTGAAGTGAAACCTCTAGTCATACCATGGCTCAGGATACAAATTAGATTACGTGTGAGGGGTGAATGTAACATGCCCAAATGTGTATGACTGTCGTCCTCTTTTTATTCACTCACTCCCCATGCTCAGCTAGAGAGAGTTGTGTTTGCTTTTCCAAGGGATTTGTCCTGTGTACATAGGTAAAGGATGGTGGAGCACCAGGAATAACCAGGTGGTGGTGAAGTTAACTATCTAGCACATTAATTTTCATACCGCTCAGAAAGAGCAAGAAACAACAGTAGCGTGTTGGGAGCTGTCTGTTCCCAAGGAGACTGATGTGGATATCTGCCCCATGGGAACTGGATTCAGACCACCAACCAGTCATCAGATGGGAGTAACTTCAGTCACTACTGACCCAGACTGTATGTGAACCAGTGACCAAGAGGTGAAAAGTTCAGTCTCCCATAGCATAACACAGAGGAAGCATTTCAGAAGCTACACTGCTTTCACAGTGGTATATACCTAGTAATACTCATTTGAAGGTCTGCTTTAGAGATGAAGGCGAGAACCTTCTTATCAAATCTGCATCTCTGGTGAAGTGATCAGAACTGAAGTTACATTCACACAATCCTCTCAGCCTCACCTTGAAGATTAAGGCAATGGCCTGCCCCGTCCAGCGGTATTTTTCAGGTGTCAGCTGCATGTGGGTTTTGATTACATCAGCAGGCTGTGTCGCCAATGAAGCCAGGATTCCAGCAAAGATTCCACAGCTGAAGTTCACTAAGGGGGTGAGCGCTGGATCAAACTGGTCTGGAATGAAGCAAGACACAGCTTAGTCAGACATAATACAGTACAATTCTGTTCTGTAGATAGTGACTTTCTTAGAAGCTGTATCCCAAACTAAATAGTTACCAAATTATAAAGTAGATAACTGAGGAAGAGACTTTTCAAAGGAGATTAGCAAATAGACACACCAATGCTAATTTTGGCTAAACAAATCACTTCCATTGGGACTGAATTTGACAGACACACAGAGCTAAAGAAAGGCTGTTTTAGAGGGCAGAAGCTGCAGAGGAGAAGGCTCTCACACCAAAATCAGGCAAGTCTCAATTTAGCAGAGATTGCAGAAGTGTTGGGGAACTATACAATGTGCATGAAAATGTGCAACTGGCAATGTCAGGTGTTGAGCAAGTTTTCCCCACACACAGCTCTGCCAACTCCTCATCCCCAACTCACAGTACCCCTTGCTTGGTAACTGCATCCCTGAAGTATCTGTCTCATACTTTGCTCGTAGGCAAACACCAGATCACCATGAAGCGTGGATGCATTCTATGTGCAATGTAGACCAGAGTCCCCTGAGCACCAACGTGAGGCCCAGGTCATTTTCATGTAAGACTCCTCCAGAACGTGAACATCCAGTTCTCTACAGGTGGAACACTAATGCCCCACCTTAGCCCTACAAGGGATCGATTTAATCAGAAAAAGGCCAAAGTAAAGCATGTGGACAGAAAGGAAAGGATGCTGGGAGTGAGAAGAACCACATTCTGTGTTATTACATCCACATTCAGCCTTACCCTGAGGTATAACTTTTTTGGTCTGGGTGTAGAACATCAAATAGATGCCGGAAAAGGGTGCATCACGCAGGAGCGTTGCAGTCAGCCCACAGAACAAGCCCCGGGCCCCTTCTGTCCGATAGATATTCCTCACGGCTCCATACACGCTCTCATAGCCATACTTCCCACTCTGCAGAGGACACACAAAAATGGTTTACCTACATGTCAGATATAGGGTCCCTTGTGCTGGGACATCATTACTGAGCAAGCCTTGAAGTGAAATCACCTCTCTACACACAAAAGGGTGAACACTTACCTCCGACTCCTAAATGCTTTAAATACACCACCACAAGGGCAACCAGCCAGATTTCTCTTTTCCCAAGGCCAATCATATATTGTAGTTACAGTATATTTTTAAGTATATACACGAGACGCAATGACGGGGGAGGGATAGCTCAGTGGTTTGAGCACTGGCCTGCTAAACCCAGAGTTGTGAGTTCAATCCTTGAGGGGGCCATTTAGGGATCTGGGGCAAAAATCTGTTTGGGGATTGGTCCTGCTTTGAGCAGGGGGTTGGACTAGATGACCCTCTGAGGTCCCTTCCACCCCTGATATTCTATGATTCTATGACATAAGAACTATTCCAGTGACATCGCCAGAGAGCAACTGTCTTGCTACATTATCAGCAACAGAGCTTCCCACACACTTTAGCACTGATATTTTATTAGCTACTTTTTCTATAGCAATTTACTTCTCCGACTCCATCCACTTCCACTGGCTGGAAGATTCAACCCCAGTCTCCTCGCAGGGCTAAGCATGGTGCCTCCCCAGCAATCCCCACCAAGGACGCAAGAGGTGAGGAAGGGGATTTGAACTTTATCTCCTGCATGGCAGATAGATATGGAACTAACACATATAATATAAATATACACCATACAGTTACTAGCTATTACAGACCAGCCTTGCAAGAGTGTTAACAGCCCAAGATACAGCCACTCTCCCCCACTCCTGCCATGATGATAAAAATATTATTTCTTGCTGAGCAAGTAAAATATAGAAGTTACTTGCCCCAGGTGTGTGAGCGTGGAGAATTTTTCAGTCCATCTAGGTTTCAAACCATACCCATCATTGCAGCATTTAAGCACCTTGCGCAGTATAGAAGCAGTATATAGGATCTCAGTTTCTCAGTCCCTGATACCCAAGACAGATGAATTTTTTGTGCTATAGGAGAGGGTATGAAACCACAACACAAACGTCAGAAAGTTCTAGAAGTATGAAAATTGTGACACTCACCTCATATCGTGTCTTCACCACGGTTATGGGCAACATGCAAACCCCTGCTACTGTACGGGAGCTAATGCCCAGAAAGACAGACTCTAGGGCTGTGGGGGAGCGGTCCGAGAGAAAGTACTGCTTCATCTTGTACAAGGTGCTGAAGTAAATCCCGACCCCAGGGATGCATCTTGCGAAGGACTGCAGAAGAGTGAAAAATGGAGAGAAAACACACTACTGAACACTAAAAAAGGGAGCGTTAAACCTGCTGGGAAGCTTCAGGCCCTGGGGAGGGTCACTGAAAAGAAAGAGCTGGTACTCTGAAGAAAGGAGAAGAGGTGTAGGGCAAAATCATGACTCCACTGAAGTCAGAGTTTTGCTATTGACTTTAATGGGGCCAAGATTTCACCCAAAGACTCCGTCCCCAATTACATGCACATTCAGGAACTGAAACAGGCTTAGGCCGGTGCACCAGCCATTACAGATATATAGGCCGAGATTTTTATAGATATTTATTAGACACGGCTTCCCGTCAGCGTTGCATGGCCTAAGTAACATAGACAACTACCTCCCAGTTTCAAAATTGACTTGAGCACTTAGGAACCTTAGACCCACTGCCCTTCAGTGAGAGAGACTTAGGCTCTTAAGTGCCTAAGTCACTTTTGAAAATAGGACAGACATCTAAGTCACTTTGGCCTTGCAACACTGAGCGGAGCAACATTTAAATACCTTTAAAATTCTAAACCATACTTACTAACACATGCTAGGTAAGAAAAAGTCAGAGTTAAAATAATCACTTACTGGTGAGACCCCTTTCCAGAGCCCTAGGAGACTTTCAGTGCGAATAACCCTAACGAACAAAGCTACCATCCCAACATGACCTGACCTAGAAGGAAAACAAGAAAGGAATGACATAGATATACTGCAGCTGATACCCCATGGGTCCAACCCTACAGCCCTGCTCTAGTCCTCCCTCACCCACCCAGAGCGCTCCAGAGATGTACCTGTGTACTAGCTATAGCACCAGGGCCAGCTCCAGCATTTCTGCCGCCCCAAGCAAAAATAAAATTGCTGCGATCGCGATCGGCGGCGGCAATTGTGAAAAAAAAAAAAAAA